ATGAGAGTAAATGTTGCAGCTATTAGTATAATTTTGCTAGAATTACATTACAAATCTAAAGATTTCTGGAGGATGGCATGTTTTTGCAGTGCTTTCAGGATTCCCTGATAAAGGCAGCTGTTTAATTAAGCCTTTTAAAAATTATAGCTAAATGTATAGGGATATATTAAGAAAGGAGAAAAGCAGACCCATCATATGAAATAGAGAATTGGTATCCAGCAAAGAAACCCATTTAAAAATAAGGTGAGCGATAAGGAGGGCATTTAAACAAGACATAAAAATAATTCCAAGTCCAGAGAAAAATTATGGAAGACTTGGAACTCAGTACTTTACTTACTGAACCTATATGTAAATCTTGTTTTTTATAGGTTAATTTCATAGAAGAAAACATGCAGGAACTATGGTTTGTTTTGTAAAGAAGGGCAAAACAAGAACTTCTTTGAATTTGCTTTAAATCGGGAGGAAAAGCACAATTTAACAGTGAAATGTTGAAACAGCTAATGCAATTGGTGAGTTTTAAATTTCCTGGTGTGTGTGGACCAAGACAGACTTTTACATTCTATTTTCTCTTAGTTAGGTATGTTTTAGGCAAAATTATAGGGAAGTCAAGCAAATGCTCTCAGATCAATGTCAGTAGGAGCAATTTGTGCTTTCAGCCTGGTCTTTAACTGTGAAAAAGTGCAGGAGGCTGATGTCACTTGTTTCTGCTCAGAGCCTTGCTGTGCTTGGTATTTGTGAGAACTGATTTTAGTATCTGCAGGGGAGGTTAGGAAGCCCCTCAAATGTTACTGCATCTAAGAGCAGGGTGTGTGAGCTGTGTGAGGGAAACCACTGCTGCCACGCCAGGGGAAGGGCTGAATCCAGCAGCCTTTCCTCTGGCCAAATTTCTATTTTAAAAAAGAGGAGACAGGTGAAAACTTGTCTGTTCTGCCCATCCAAGTGGGATTTCCCCTAGGATGAATGCTTCATTGTAGGGGGGAAACAAACTCAAATGATGTGTGCCATGTGTGTGATGCTCTGAGCTAGAAGCAGCTGCTTGCAGTGCTCTGTGGCAGTAGTGGGTAACTGAGGGAGCTGCTGTGCTGGGCTTAGGAACCAGTTAATCACATTCTCCTGGTGAATGACAAACTAACGTATAAATTGTTGGAATGAGAACAACAGCGTCGTTTGTTAAGTTTTTTATTAAACTGGGCATAATAATTCACTCATTGGGTTACAAGTCAGTAATGTGGGGCGTGGGGCAATGCATTTTCTTTTCATATACTTTGAAAAGCATCTTGAAAGTAAGGCATGCTGAAGGAGTTGCAGGGGATGAGCAGCCACATCCTGGATGTTCTTGCTTGATGTTGCTGTGAGGGAGCTGAAGGGCAGCTGGTGCCACTGGCAGCTGCTGTCCCCACGCTGCAGTGTAGTGGGGTTCTGCTCGTGCTCTGTGGTGGGCTGTGGGTGATGGGGGATTGTGGCTTGAGAGTTTGTTAAGTCTGTAATAGTGGCCAGAGTTTGGACACAGTTGTTTTAAAAAGAAATATGAAACAGCAAATGCAGCATTGATTGCTGAAGTCATAAAGCAGATGGTGCTATGAGCCACAGGAGGGTTAAACAGTTGAACAATATCGACTGTTACACTCATAAATGATAATTAAAACATCCTTTTTATTAGTGGCTCAATTTCTGCTGCTAGCTTGGATTTTTCTGTTGCTGTCAATGAAGTTTGGGTGTTCTGAACAAGGCCATAATTTGCTCAAGAGCCACTGCCACCTGTGGGGTCCAGGAACCTCCTGCAAGAGGAGCATCGGAAGGAGCAGCTAAGGAGACAAGGTGTAAAGAACACAAAACTTACCCACTGGCAGAAAATCTTGTTTAAAGGAAATTCTTCCCCTTCCAGCCATGTGTCAGAAACCTCTGATAGAAAGGAATAGAAATTGAATGGTGGACTTTAAGAAGCTGTACCCTCCTCCCTCCCTTCAATTACTGCTTGCATTTACAGGATAGAATTAATGAAGTTAATTACATCTAGAGAAAATGTCTTGGTTGAGTGAATTACTTAGATCTTTTAAAGTAGAGACATAATTTTCTGCAAGGTTCACAGGCTGTTTTTCAAGCTTGGTTGGTTACTTTGGTTTATAGTCCCCATGATGCATGGTTGCTATCTTAAGCACTCTGGGGTGCACCTCTTAGAGTAATACAAGATGTCAAATTCAATGTAGCAACAACTGCAGTATTCAAAACAAAAATACTGAAATAAATAAAAAGACTGCTTTCTGACAAAGATGAAAAGGAGTTAAAAGGTAAAGCAAAATAGCAAGGTGAGGTGCTTACAGAGTAAGACTATATTGTGTAATTAGCAAAGAAAATGTCTAATATGCTGCTTGTCTGACAGTCTTTTGTTCACTTGGGTGTCATAATTTTCAGCATGCAGCATTAACCAAAGGAATTTTCAGGGATATGTTTACATATTAAGGTGGAAACAGAAAAAAAGGACAAAGAATAATCTGGGAAATCAAAACATTTTAGAGGGATACCTTACAGTAAATAGTATTCAAGATTAGGACTTCAAAGAATGAAGAGATCAGGCATACATGATTGTGAAGCTTTAATAGATAATTTTACTTTAAAATTATCTGACATATGAGGTTGACATTAAAGATAGACCTGAATTTAAAGCTGGAGGCAAGCTTCAGCATCTAATTAATTTTTTACCAAATTGCATGTTGGAGTTTTCTTTAAGGAAATTTTTGTGCAGATTTAATTTAAAACTTTCTTGGTTTGTATATATTTTGGTTTAGGGATTTTCTTAAAAATTAGAAGTCAAGTAGGAGTTTTTTCTATGGAAACACTCAATTTATGTCTTGTGGTGATTTAAATTTAAATTTCTGTTTCTCATTTACAGCTGTGTCCTGGGCTTGCCCCTGGCTTGCGTTTCGAGCAGGGCCCCATGAGCAACACCCTCCATGTTGTCTTTGTCCTTGTGTCTCTTGAAAGGCAGAATGTGTTTTGTGTTTTGTGAAATGTAGTTCAAAAGAGCCTAGTTTACATGGAAAATAAGGTGGTGTGTATATTACCACAGCTTCCTTGAAAAATTTCAATAGCATTTTCCAATGGAAAACTTCAGATTCTTCAGATAAAAGATTTGTATTTCAATTTTCCATCAATAAAATTCCAGTCTTTACAGCATACAAATTTTCATTCTACACAAAACCAGTGCTAACAAAGATTAATTTCCAAGAAGAAAAGGCAGAAGCATCACGTATGCAATGCAGATACACACAATTGTCCCAGCACAGCACAGGCACTATGGCAATGTGGAGTTAAACATCGCATGAAGACTCGTGGTGGCCTAGCAAACATAGGACCATGAAGGGTTTGAACAGCCATATTAAATGGGAATTTATTCAGGGCTCTGTGAACACACTTGAAAAACCAGTTTAACAGCAGCATTTGCTGGTTGAGCACAGAGTCAAGCAGCTAAGCTGGAGGAGGCACTGGGAAATTGTACCAGGAAAGAAATATTTTTGGCTGATATTTCTTCAGGGCATCAGGGATGTGAGGTATCCTTTGGAGCCACATTGCTGCAGCTGGCATTCCTTGTGTTATTGACTGAACCTTACCAAAGGAAGCCTCACTTCCATTTCAGAAAACCTGTAACTTATTTTTGTTTGGGTTGTCTTGGGCTGTGCTGTTTGATAAAGGAACTTGTCTTTGGTTTGGTTTGTGCGGTGTCCCGCACCAGGAGTTGCATACCCATGAGTGAGGCTCATTAAGAACTGTGACAAAATTATGAGCAGAATTAGGTCTCACCCAGTAAAATCACATTTTAGTAAAATACATGAGACAAAATATTTAATGCAATTATTGCTTGAATTGTACTGATTACAGGAGTCACTAACAGAGGGAGCACTCCTCTGAAAATAGGCAGCTTTAGAAAGAATCAAAGTTGTTTCTTTGATAGGTGACTTATCAATCTTATTATGGTTCTTTTACCATCTGTATTTTGGGTAATTACTAGTTTTACCTAAATGTTAAGGGTATTACATGTTTGTCATCATTAATAATTTTTATTATTTTCTACTAAGAACATGGAAGCCCTTTATTTTCTATCTGTTGCTGTGAAATTGTTTTGAAATTTACAACTTCACAGATGCAGACTCTCTCTGTATTCTTTTAATTGTGAGTATTTATGATTTTGGTGTTCTGCAAGATTCTGGAGCTTAAGCCCCTCAGCTGTCACTGTTCTCTGCTGCTGATGGAAACACCTTAACAGCAGCAAACAAACTGCTGGCAAAAGGAATTGCAGCACAAAGATAAGGTTGTTTCTAATCTAAGTGCTTCCCAGTTGAAAATTGCATGAGGAAAAAACATATTCAAGGAATCAGTCAATTGTGGCCTTTTTCTAATGTACGATATTTGCAACCTCTGACAATTGGAGCTGAGAGCAGCAAAAATCTGCCCTAATTGCAAGGACTGCAAAAAAATACTCACTTTTTTTTTTTTTTTTTTTTTCCCTGAATAAATGGTTGGGTTTTTTTTGGGATGAAATGCATAACTGCATTATGAAAGAAAACAATAACAGTGCTGTGTCTGTGCTTGTTAAGTGGTTGGAGAAGAATGAACAAGTCCAGATATTTCTTTGCATCTGCCTAGATTTCAGATAACACAGTAGAGCATGTTCCCCAATGCCTCTAATTCTAAAGGGAATACTGTACATTTTGATTATACTTTTGTTACTACTTTTCACTTTCAAATATGTCTGTAAAGATCTTGGATACACTCCTGTGCATTACTGTACCAAGAGTAAGGTTTTGTAATTCTGGAGTGTAACTGTAGAAAATAACTCAGGATTTCAAAATGTGTCTGGAATTTATATCAGCACCAAAGTGCTTATGATTTGAAAGAAATGTGTTATTTCTGTGAAACTGCATGTAAATATATATTTATATTTAATGTTTCTTTTGCAACATCACTGATTTAACTTGTAAAATACTGTTATTTTTTCATCTTAGGTCTGAGGGTAACAGTGTTACTAACATCATCCCTTATGGTATTGGGATCTGGCCTGAGATGTGTTCCAGTTTCAGACCTAGAAATTAGGAAAAAGTAAGTGAATTAATTATTTTTAATATACGTATTTTATTCTTTCTGCTAATATAATTTTTTCTGCTACTACAAAGAAATGTTAGTACAAATTTTCTGTATGAAGTTGATATATCAAATGTTGGTTGTGTGGCTGTGGGTTTACATGCTTCTTTGCTTCTTAAATGGATTTTTCTAGTCCTTCTTCTCCATAGTATCTGAAGATCAGAAAACCCTTTACAAGCTTGAGTTAATTTAATCTCACCCCATCCTTCATAACTAATATTAATCTGCTTTGCAAATAAGGAACTAGAGATTTAGCAACGTTCAGAAACTGGCCCAAGATCACACAGGGAGCCATGCCTCAACCCCCAAAAATAAGTAATTTGCATGCAAATGTTAAATAATTAGTTCATTTTCTCACACTGAATGTATGGGATCATGCCGTGAGACAGATGAATTTGTGCAAAATGGCTTTATTCATGTAGTCTTTTCTAGTCCATGTTTCAAAGTAGCCTTGGACTTTTTCTGCAGTGAAGTGATTATCTGCTGTACACATGCCCTTTATGAATTTGTGATAGAAACAGATTCTTTCCTAAAACTCCCACAAACCAAACAATTGAATTGTTCCATCAACATATCCTGAATCTAGGAATCATCAGTAAGTACAGCAGTAGAGCTCATTTTGTACAGCCAGGGAACATGGATCACTTGTTCACTTAACTTTCTTTTGCCTCTTAGTGTGAAGGAGGTGGGAGTATGTAGGCATTACTGCTCTTTCTGCTACTTTGAAAAAGCAGCAGCACTGGTTCTTTGCTACTTATGCTTGCATAATATGTAAACACTAAGGAAATATCTTACAAATAAAATGTTTTATGTGGGTTGGCTTTTTTCCCCCTTGAATTCTACCATGCAGTCTTGGTATTATTTGGGTTTTGGTTTTTGGGTTTTTTTTTTTTGTGTCAGGTATGAAACAATGGAATTTCAGTTCTTAGGTGCTTAGTGAGCATATAAGGAAGCACTCAATGTGCTTCTCATGTTGGTTGCCTAGTGCTGCCCATTTTGACAGAGTCTTCAAGGACTCTGTAAGCAGGGCAGGCTGAACTAACCATATTGTGCTACTCCTCACAGGGACCCTTTTGAGGAAAACGTACTGTCTGTGTGTCCAGGAAGAGCTGCCCTTATTTTACCCTTGGTTTACATTTTCTTAAAATGTCAAGGGGTGCTCGACATTCAGATTGTTCATTCCATCAGTCTTGGGTTGAATATCAATAGCTTTTAAATGGGACACATGGCTTAAATGCAATGAAATGTGGTGTTTTATGTAGCTTTTCATTTGTGATGTATACAGAAGACATGTGCTGCCCTAGGCTTTACCAAAACAAGGATGAAGACTATAAATACCTGGGAAGATGAAAATTCCCAGGTGAGATTTGGATGTGAGGTATCATTTGGGGAGTGGGAGGGAGAGTTTCCACCTTTAAATATGATTTTCCAGTGTAGCTGCAGAAAGCTCAATGAAATACATAACTAAGGAGAAACTTTCAAGGAACAAAGAAAGGCCGTGGACTCTATAGTCTGATGAGTTAAAATTTATTGAAAACTATATAGGGAAAAATAGAGTATGGGCAGAATACTGATGGAAAAGTTTAATAATTTCATATATTCATGCTGTGAAAGTATGTATCATCTCCAGCTGAAACTGATAAATTTGCCTACTTATGCTACTCCCAAAAAATAAATTTGCCAGAATTGTGGCTCTACATGAGGAAGTATCTTGATCTTTTACACAGTTTGATTAAAAAATCTACCAAGAATTAATTATGTCCAACTGTGAGAAGCAAAAGAATGGTTTTCAGTGAAGTTTTGTGAGACTTTGTAAATAATTGTACACTGACTGTGTAATGCTGTACCACATAACTTCCATTGTTTTTTGGGTTAAGGCTTAAGGCCAGTTTTCATCCATTATTTGAAATGTGATACCAAATAAAATAATTTTTTTTGAGATGAGCATTATTGCTTTAAGCATTAGCCACAACTGGCTGAGCACCAAATTATGCACTTATTCTGAATGTGAACTTGTGCTAATACAACAATTTGAATGTTACAGAGCCTGTCAGAGGGACGAGATCACATGCAACCTAATTGGAAGCATCTCAGAAGCCAGTGTAACTGGAATTTATTTAAATGTTTCTGTGTGTTTTGTAGTGTGTTCCTTCAGCCTGAGAGTAATCTGTGGGAATATGGTGAAGATTTCCATGGGACAATTCTGTCTGAGCTAATATACATAAAATTATAAAAATGTTCATGAGGTTTGTAAGGCTTAGATTGGGGGTTTTGTACTTTGTAGCAGTCTGTGCTCCCTAAGCTCATGTGATTAACATTAAGGAGAGTTACTAAAGCCCACCACCTATCAGAGCAGTCATAGACTGGCATTTAATCCTGGCTGCTTTATGCTCCTTATCTCAAACAGGCCTGTAATATCCAGGTGTATTCTTAATCCCCTTTCTAGGCCATAATTATTCTTTTGGTTGTAGTGTGTAATATCAGACAAAGACCATGTCCAGTCCTCCAAGCCGTGTTTTAAACACGGACCTTGACCTCTCTTTTCGGTACATTTGATGCCTATGTATATGAGGGAAAATTCAAGTTGCACATTTCATTGTGTCTCTTGAAGCAGCTGTGAATTTTCTATGGTGAATTTTTGTTCTCTGCCAGTATGTGACCTAAAATTTTACTGGAAATCCATGCCAGAACTGCATAAACTCCATACAGGCAAAGTGGGAGTACATGGTGAAAATGTTGAAGTGTGAACTTTGATTCAGATGGAGGATCCATCCTTTACATGGACCAATAAAGTCCCTCTCATGTACACATATGCTTTTACCTGTTTCCCTCCCCAGCCCAGTAACCTATGAGGTTAATGAGTCTATCATACAAGGACATTAGAAAGAATTTTTCTTATATGCCACGTGCTTCTAGGTTTGTCAGATGTGCCAGATATATGACTGTAAATTTGACCCCATGTTTATTATTCCTTTTAAAATGTTATTCAAACTTCATTTGCCACACCTCTTTATATGTTTACAGCTAATATACATTATATAGAACATAAAGGAAAAAAGATGTTACCAAATTGTACCTTTCCTGAATCTTCTTCCCTTGCCTGGAGGTTACCAGAACATAACTAGTGCTTTTTTGCCTACATTTTGTCCAGTCCTTTCCTTTCTGACACCTGGTTGTCACTGAGTAAATATTTTCATTGGACTCTTTTAGGATTTGATTATTTTATCCTGAACATTAACATTACTGGGAGGCCATTTTCTTATAGACTAAATCAGAGTTGATTTTTTTCCCTTCCACATTGGACTTCATATTTACCTTGTATTTTGTGTTTATGAATAGATTTACATACATCTTAGGTCTTAAATCTAGACAAAAAACTGTATGAGCTGAAATGTTTAACAGAAGGAAATAGAATTAAGAAATCAGCTCACAGCCATAAAACTTTGGCTTTTAAGACTGATTGTGTGATGTAAGGCTTCTTAAAATGTTTTGAAAGGCAGGATAATTAAAGACATGGAAGTAAAAGATGTAACACAATTTGTCATTTGTATTGAACACATTAATTAAGCAATTTATTAGAATGTCTTATGCTGTGGGCTGGTAGTGTTTGTCCTTCACATTAGATTTCACAACAGAAAAGTAGTTATTGAGGACCTTGAGTCATGGCAATCATTGAGAGGATGGATGCTCCTTGGCAGTAAGTACCATTAAAATGTTTGTTGGGAACCCAGCAAAATAGCACAGAGAATTACAGTGGAAACAGAGAGGTTGTTTACACAGTCATTTATAGGAGATACACCAATAGTTGGTAGATCCTGTAAAATGTCTTTTTGTTAATATTACCATTTTTCAGGATTTTGAATATTTCTCTTTTATATATATATTGTTGTGAATTCTTTACTACTTTTGAAGATTCACTCTTAGCACATCTTTGGTACATTTTGTTTCTATTAGCTACTTGCAACCCAGTTTGTATTTTACTCTTGTTGGACTTACCCTTTAACAATTCCACATTTTCCCCTTTTCTGTTGCTTGAAGCCTAAAGAATTAATGGGATCATCTGTTTTTTTCCCCTGATCTTGGCTGCCATAAGCCACCATTCTTATGCATGAAAAATGCAAAGGAACATCTTGGAATAGGTTGTTTCAGTAAAGGAAATACATACTAGGATTCCTATATTCTCTGGTAATACTGAACACAATTCTGTGCTCAAAAAACCCAAAACAATCCAAATTGGAGCATCTGTGGAGAACAGGAATTAAACTGTTCTGGGAAATGAGAAGAACCTGTTAGGAGAGGGTGGTAGATAAATTAGCCTGTAAGGAATAAAGACAGAGTGTGCTGAGTGTTTTGTGCTTCCTACCTCAGTGGGGAAGAGAAATGAAAAAAGGATTTAATTTAAAGTGAGGGTCTGGGAGTAGAAAGATGAATAAACACACCTGTTTGTGTGCTGTAGCTCAGCAAGTGGAGGGGGAAAACATTAAGACTGAGCACTTGCCTGGTGCTTTTGGTGCTGATTTGTGCTGCAGTGCTGGAGGAAGGCTGAGTTGGGTTAATCTGTGGCATCAGAAAAATAGGAAAGTGAGGAAGAAAGGAAACAGGTCATTCATGAGTAGGTTCACATGGGGGATACTTATTTTTTACGCCTCTGTAATATAACAGTTTATCTTGTTTTTATTACTTCCACCAGCTTCATCTTGTACACAGGGGTTATTTTTTAACCTCTGCTCCAAAGCATTTGTTTTAGATTAGAGGTCCTATGTTCTTAAGTGGTTATGATTTTTTCCAGCTTTGCTTATTTGTTGATGGTAGTGGGGGGTGATTTAGTGTCCCTCTGGCTGCTCAGTGGTCCCTCCTGCCACTGCTCTGCCACGTGTCCTGAGATGCACCAGCAGCTTCTGACCAGCTTGCGGGGCAGCCAGATGGGTTTCTCCTTCAGCTGGATCAGCCCTAGTGGA